GCAGGACACAGTCTCAGGTGGCCTGCCATGGGGCCGGCAGCAGGACACAGTCTCAGGTGGCCTGCCGTAGGGCTGGCAGCAGGACACAGTCTCAGGTGGCCTGCTGTGGGGCCGGTTGCAGGACACAGTCTCAGGTGGCCTGCCATGGGGCCGGCAGCAGGACACAGTGTCAGGTGACCTGCCGTGGGGCCGGTTGCAGGACACAGTCTCAGGTGGCCTGCCGTGGGGCCGGTTGCAGGACACAGTCTCAGGTGGCCTGCCATGGGGCCGGCTGCAGGACACAGTCTCAGGTGGCCTGCCATGGGGCCGGCAGCAGGACACAGTGTCAGGTGACCTGCCGTGGGGCCGGTTGCAGGACACAGTCTCAGGTGGCCTGCCGTGGGGCCGGTTGCAGGACACAGTCTCAGGTGGCCTGCCATGGGGCCGGCTGCAGGACAAAGTCTCAGGTGGCCTGCCATGGGGCCGGCTGCAGGACACAGTCTCAGGTGGCCTGCCATGGGGCCGGCAGCAGGACACAGTCTCAGGTGGCCTGCCGTGGAGCCGGCAGCAGGACACAGTGTCAGGTGGCTTGCCGTAGGGCTGGCAGCAGGACACAGTGTCAGGTGGCTTGCCGTAGGGCTGGCAGCAGGACACAGTCTCAGGTGGCCTGCCGTAGGGCTGGCAGCAGGACACAGTCTCAGGTGGCCTGCCGTGGGGCCGGTTGCAGGACACAGTCTTAGGTGGCCTGCCATGGGGCCGGCTGCAGGACACAGTCTCAGGTGGCCTGCCATGGGGCCGGCAGCAGGACACAGTCTCAGGTGGCCTGCCGTGGGGCCGGTTGCAGGACACAGTCTTAGGTGGCCTGCCATGGGGCCGGCTGCAGGACACAGTCTCAGGTGGCCTGCCGTGGGGCCGGTTGCAGGACACAGTCTCAGGTGGCCTGCCGTGGGGCCGGCTGCAGGACACAGTCTCAGGTGGCCTGCCGTGGGGCCGGCTGCAGGACACAGTCTCAGGTGGCCTGCCGTGGGACCGGCAGCGGAAGCGTAGAAGCTGCTCAGGAGGCCGACCGTTGAGATGAATGTGGAGCAGCGTCTTAGGGAGACCACCGCCGGGCCGGAGGCACGGTTGAGGTTCAGGAGGCCGGCCTACGATCCGGCAACGGAGCAAAGTCTTAGGTGGCCGGCAGCGGGGTCGAGGGCGACGCTGACACTCTGGGGGTCTGCCGCGGGGCCGAAGGCGAAGAACCTTCTCAGAAGGAAGATGCCCAAACTTCAGCAGGAACCCCCACGGGGTACCCCGTCCCCTCCTCGGCAGCTCAGGCTCTGTAGCAACCGCCGACTGCGGCTCAGGAGGAGGCTCTGAGGAGACCATCGAGTGCGGCTCTGGAGGACGCTCTGAAGAGGCCGCAGACTGCGGCTCTGCAGGAGGCTCTGAAGAGGCCGCCGACTGCGACTCTGGAGGAGGCTCTGAAGAGGCCGCGGCTCTGGAGGAGGCTCTGAAGAGGCCGCGGACTGCGGCTCTGGAGGAGGCTCTGAAGAGGCCGCCGAATGCGGCTCTGGAGGAGGAGCAGGGGAGCCCGCCGACTGCGGCTCTGGAGGAGGCTCTGAAGAGGCCGCGGACTGCAGCTCTGGAGGAGGCTCTGAAGAGGCCGCCGACTGCGGCTCTGGAGGAGGCTCTGAAGAGACCGCGGACTGCGGCTCTGGAGGAGGCTCTGAAGAGGCCGCCGACTGCGGCTCTGGAGCAGGGGAGCCCGCCGACTGCGGCTCTGGAGCAGGGGAGCCCGCCGATTGCGGCTCTCGAGCATGGGAGCCCGCCGATTGCGGCTCCCGATCAGGAACAGGGGAGCCCGCCGATTGCGGCTCCCGATCAGGAACAGGGGAGCCCGCCGATTGCGGCTCCGGCTCAGGAACAGGGGAGCCCGCCGATTGCGGCTCCGGGTCTGGAACAGGGGAGCTCCGGCTCCGGGTCTGGAACATGTGGAATCACCGACTGTGGTTCCACCTCTGGGACTGGAGGGAACATCCATGGAGGCTCTAGTTCTGTCTCTGAGGAGGCTTGAAAAGTCTGTAGAGGGCTCTTGGCGAATTGTGGTCCCTGTAGAGAGGCTCTTGGAGGCCTATCACCATCAACTCCGAATTCAGAAGTCCTTCTAACCTTTAGCTCAGGAGTCTCTAGACGGCACAGGGCAGGCTCAGGGGTCTCTGGACGGCACAGAACAGGCTCAGGAGTCTCTGGATGACACAGAGCTGTCTCAGGGGTCTCTAGACGGCACAGAGCTGACACAAGGCGACGCCTTTTCTTACGCCGAGAAGTATTAGGAGCTAAGCTAAGTGGTTTATTGAAAGGATCAGACGCAAAATTAACCGGTTGAGAAAAAATAATTCCTGAATGGATTACAGGATCTGGGGCTAACAAATCAGGCATGGGGTCTGGTTCAAAACAAACTGGGTTATTTTCTGGTCTGGGAGCTGGATTAAGCTGGCGTGAAACAGAAAGCGGAGGCTCGAAAGGGCAGATATCATCCCTATCTCCATAGAAAAAGTTCCATAACTCAGCTTCATGGATGTGGGGAGCTCGATTAACAGGCGAGGGAAATGGTTTTGAAAACACGGAAACAGGTTCAGGTGTCTGGTCAGGCTGTACGGCTCTGGGTCTTGTTAGCATTGTAGAAGTGGTTAGCGAATTCTAACTGTAACTCACGGAGGGTTTGTCTATGTTCATGAATCTGAGCGTCCCTTTTCTCAGTCCAAAGACGGAGGTGATCTGCTGGGCTTTGGGTCTGGCCGCAGTGTTCTGTCATGATGGGTGTCACAGAGAGTAAGCCCAAGATGCAGAACACACACGGAGGCACTGGTAAAAGTCCAAAGAGTTTATTAAAGGCACAAGCACATGAATCACAGTTCAGGCAGGGGACTAATCCGCTGGGGTCTGTGCGGGGAAAGGGAGATGGCTGGATGTGAGCTGAGTTTGAGCTTCCAGCTCACTGCAGGGAACAACAGGGGAAATCCACATGGGAACCTCTTAGGGAAACTCCACAGAGGAGTCGTCAGGTAGCATCCACGTAGAATTCATGGGTAGGCTCACCAGGGCAGGTTAGCAGGTTAGCTTTCCTAGAGCGTCAGGCTAGGGACTGGCTTCCTGTGATGCAACTCTCCCAGAGCTGCAGGCCAGAGACAGGTGCCAGAGAGACTGCTCTTCCAGGGCTTCACGAAGAGACAGGTGGTTAAGCTTATCCAGAGCTTTCACGAAGAGACAGGAGGTTAAGCTCATCCAGAGCTTTCACAAAGAGACAGGAGGTTAAGCTCATCCAGAGCTTTCACGAGGAGACAGGTGGTTAAGCTTATCCAGAGCTTTCACGAAGAGACAGGAGGTTAAGCTCATCCAGAGCTTTCACGAAGAGACAGGAGGTTAAGCTCATCCAGAGCTTTCACGAGGAGACAGGTGGTTAAGCTCATCCAGAGCTTTCACGAGAGACAGGATTCCTGTGAGGCAGAGACAAAGAAGAGTTAGAATCTGATCTCACACGAGAGATAACGAAGATTCTTCAGTAACAGAGGCTCAGGAAGCTAACCAACTAAGATCAACACTGCGGCGTGGAATCAAGGACAGGCAGGAACTTATAAAGGAGAGGTCTTCTGATAAGAGGATTAGGAACAGGTGTGCAGGAAGGTTCCAGCTCCAGAAGACCCACAGCGCATCCTGCTGGAGACAGAGGGTAAACTCCAGATCCCCACAGTAACTCCAACCCTAAGGGAAAAACAAAGAGAGCAGAAAAAGGATCCTTGGCGCCCTCTGGTGGGCAAGCCTGAGGATCCCAACACCAACAACATGAGGGAAACCTAAACTGTGGCTGATCAGACCATTTAATTTAACTAATTAACAAAATTACCCAAACTTAGAATATTTAAACAAATGATGAACAAATTTCCCCTCCCATTCCAAATGGTTTGACCCGCTGATTAGCCTGGAGCGACCAACTGAGGAAAGCTGGAGCTCATTGCAGTCCTCCACCAGCAGATCTAAAGGAAACTGGCAACTCAGAGAGGAAATTAATCAATTGCATCTTAACAAAAAACAACCTGACAAAGTTAACTTAATGTGTGCACTGCAAAAAGCTAACTTAAAGTCAGGCTAATGAAGATATATGAAATATACAACTCATTTTCAAAATTAAAAAAATATAAAAGATATATACGTTAGCTATGCTAGCTTGCTATCAACAGCTTAGCGACAGAATGCATTTTATGACCCCTACATAGCAGCCACCAGTTTGTAGCAGCGACTCAGAGGCCGGCAGCACAGCTCTAACCAGAGCCAAACCAGTGGGTCACAGTCCGGTGGTTTATCGGTGCAACGACAGAACCGTTAGAACACGGGTCGGCAGCTTCTAGCAGCTCCTCACAGAACAGCAATAGGGCTGGTTCATGGTCCAACCAGAACTGGAGAGTTTCTCATCTGCTTCAGCAGGCAGGTTCACTAAACACTGCATTCAAACTGGTTTGAAACGCAGGAAAAGACCATTGCTACCTTCAGCTCCTTCTGAATCGTAGGCAGCGAACACAGACTCTTATCTGGAGGTTTTTTCAACTGAAAACCAGCGAATGTATACCCTATTAAGGCCGCAGGACCGCAGGACCGCAGGACCGAGGCAGCTGAATGAAGTCGGCTGCTTAAGAAAACTGTTGCAGGGATGATCGTCAACACTTCTTACATTCTGCTAGCCCTGAAATGACCGTAGCAATGCTCTCTTTCATCTGCATGTCTAGTTTATCGATGTAATGGAAACTAAACCATGACTAAGGATCTTAATGCTAAAACCATCATGGCTGTATCGCCTTAAAGCACTTATTTAAACACTGATAAGAGACAAAGTCAGACTTCAGGCTCAGTGTTACTGAGCCTGAAGTCTGACTGACCTTTCTATGTGTCGATAGAAGCAACTAAACTAGAAACGGTTTAGTTGCACCGTGAATTAAAGCTGAATAGATTCTTTCATCTGATGCTTTTTTATGTCCTTGCAGTACTTCAAGAAACACCGGCGGCTGATACCAGAAAGGACCATCTGGAAATACTTTGTGCAGCTGTGCAGCGCCCTTGAGCATATGCATTCACGCAGAGTTATGCACCGCGGTAAAGAGCTGGATCTTAGTTTGTTCATTCATTCTTTCATTCATTCATTCATTCATTCATTCATTCATTGTCATGGCTGCATAGTCAGTATAACTCCTCCTGTCTGACTCCATCTAGGTCAGCTGACCTTTTGCACACAGTGCTGCAAACAAACAGTAACACTTTACAAATCCCATCATTTATAAACAAAGAGGAGAGCATTTATTGATGATTAACAGATTATTAATGTTGGATGTTAATTTATAAACTGCATCTACACTATTAATAAAAGGTAAATAGATCATATATCCGTGCTATATTGGTTTAATGTCAATGGAGTAGCTTCTTGCCTAATCCTAATCTGACTGATTTATGTTAGATTAGCTCTGAGGCTAACATCAGTAATAATGATCTAATTACCTTTTATAAATGGTTTATATGCAGTTTATAACTTAATCAAACATTAATAAACTGTTAATCATTAATAAATGGTGTGTTTAGTATTTATAAATGATGGTTTTGATGGTTATCTATATACAGTGTAACCAAACATGCATTTAACCCAATCAGTGAGCGACTCTGGCCTTGTTCATGAGGCGGGCTGCAGGTGGGAAGAAGCTGGTTTGTTGCAGCCTGTTCTGGTCCTGTAGGACTGCTGCCTCCTAACAGAGGGGAAGGTGAAACAGCCAGTGTCTGGGTGGGGGGGTTTAGCTTTAACACTGACTGTTCCTGCTAGCCTCTGGGTCCTGGAGGTGTACAGTTTACTGTTGAAGTGTTTCTACTGAAAGACGTGTTTGTTTGTTTGTGAGCAGATATCAAACCAGCCAACGTGTTTATGACAGCCTCAGGGGAGGTGAAGCTGGGAGATCTGGGATTAGGGCGATTCTTCAGCTCCAAAACCACAGCAGCTCATTCTTTAGGTGACGCACACATTGGTCCATCCATGCATGCTGTTCTTCTAAGATGCTTCTCTGAGCAGACATCAGCGTGGACCTCTCCTGTTCTCCTGCTTGCAGTGGGGACGCCGTACTACATGTCGCCGGAGCGGATCCATGAGAACGGATATAATTTCAAGTCGGATATCTGGTCCCTGGGGTGTCTTCTGTACGAGGTGAGCTCAGTGTGTGGACCCTGCAGCCTGAGAGCTTCATCCTGGCAGGAACCAGAACAGCTGGTCCAGCTGATGGTGCTCCTTCCTGAGGTCCTTGAAAGCATCGCTAGGTTCTGCTCTGGATTGATCTGAAGAGAGAGCAGCTTTTTTTCACACAGTTAGGTTTTTTTAATCGAAAAGGATGAAAACACATTTAGTTTTACACAGAAAAATTAGTTATAAAAAAATGGATGATTGGATGATAAACTATATGTTACATTTAGAACATTTATAAAAAAGGATATTTAAATAAAACAGAAGCCAGAAAAAATGAATTGAAAAAAAAGTGTGTATATATATATATATATATATATATATATATATATATATATATATATATATATATACATATATATATATATATATATATATATATATATGTATATATATATACATATATATATATATATATATATATATATGTATATATATATATATATATATATATATATATATATATACAGTCAGGTCCATAAATATTGGGATATCAACACAGTTCTAATCTTTTTGGCTCTATACACCACCACAATGGATTTGAAATGAAACAATTTGAGGGTATTTACATCCAAATCAGATGAAGGGTGTAGGAATTACAACAGTGTGTACAGGTGCTGGTCATAAAATTAGAATATCATGAAAAAGTAGATTGATTTCAGTAATTCCATTTAAAAAGTGAAACTTGTATATTATATTCATACATTACATACAAACTCATATATTTCAGATGTTTATTTTGTTTAATTTTGATGATTACAAATGACAACAAATGAAAATCTCAAATTCATCATATCAGAAAATTAGAATATTTGCATTGAAGTCTGCACCAACAGACTTCAATGCAAAGCAGAACTAAAATGAACCCTGTACAGTGACCATCCAGCTTCTTCTGATGGTCTAGACTGGATGAAACTGGCCTCCTTCATCCATCCAGCTTCACGCTGTTACCAGGCTTCTCTATACCAGTCTCACTATAACCTTTTAGTTTTGGTGTATTTTAAGTCAGATCCCATTAGAGGGATTGAGCTTTAGAAATTTACTGCTTTTGCCACCTGCTAATATATAAACATCTACTCACAGTTATGTTTGCAGCATTATTTCTTGTCTTTTCTTTGTTGAACATCAGACAGAAAAAGGTCATTTAAAAAAACAAACAGGTATTTTTTCCCCATTTTTTTCCTACCTTTAAGCTCCTGATGCAGAATAAATTACAGGTGCTGGTCATAAAATTAGAATATCATGAAAAAGTAGATTGATTTCAGTAATTCCATTTAAAAAGTGAAACTTGTATATTATATTCATACATTACATACAAACTCATATATTTCAGATGTTTATTTTGTTTAATTTTGATGATTACAAATGACAACAAATGAAAATCTCAAATTCATCATATCAGAAAATTAGAATATTGTGAAAAGGTTCAAAATTGATGGCCCCTGGTGCCACACTCTAATCAGCTAATTAACTCAAACCACCTGCAAAAGCCTTTAAATGGTCTTTCAGTCTAGTTCTATAGGCTACACAATCATGGGGAAGACTGCTGACTTGACAGTTGTCCAAAAGACGACCATCGACACCTTGCACAAGGAGGGCAAGACACAAAAGGTCATCGCTAAAGAGGCTGGCTGTTCACAGAGCTCAGTGTCCAAGCACATTAATAGAGAGGCGAAGGGAAGGAAAAGATGTGGTGGAAAAAAGTGTACAAGCAAGAGAGATAACCGCACCCTGGAGAGGATTGTGAAACAAAACCCCTTCAAAAATGTGGGGGAGATTCACAAAGAGTGGACTGCAGCTGGAGTGAGTGCTTCAAGAACCACCACACACAGACGTATGAAAGACATGGGTTTCTGCTGTCGCATTCCTTGTGTCAAGCCACTCTTGAACCACAGACAGCGTCAGAAGCGTCTTGCCTGGGCTAAAGAGAAACAGGACTGGACTGCTGGTGAGTGGTCCAAAGTCATGTTCTCTGATGAAAGTAAATTTTGCATTTCCTTTGGAAATCAAGGTCCCAGAGTCTGGAGGAAAAGAAGAGAGGCACTTCATCCACGTTGCTTGAAGTCCAGTGTAAAGTTTCCACAGTCAGTGATGGTTTGGGGTGCCATGTCATCTGCTGGTGTTGGTCCATTGTGTTTTCTGAGGTCCAGGGTCAACGCAGCCACATACCAGGAAGTTTTAGAGCACTTCCTGCTTCCTGCAGCTGACCAACTTTTTGGAGATGCAGATTTCATTTTCCAACAGGACTTGGCACCTGCACACAGTGCCAAAGCTACCAGTACCTGGTTGAAGGACCATGGTATCCCTGTTCTTAATTGGCCAGCAAACTCTCCTGACCTTAACCCCATAGAAAATCTATGGGGTATTGTGAAGAAGAAGATGCAATACACCAGACCCAACAATTCAGAAGAGCTAAAAGCCACTATTAGAGCAACCTGGGCTATCATAACACCTGAGCAGTGCCACAGACTGATCGACTCCATGCCACGCCGCATTGCTGCAGTAATACAGGCCAAAGGAGGCCCAACTAAATACTGAGTGCTGTACATGCTCATACTTTTCATGTTCATACTTTTCAGTTGGCCAACATTTCTATAAATCCTTTGTTTTTATTGGTCTTCAGTAATATTCTAATTTTCTGATATGATGAATTTGAGATTTTCATTTGTTGTCATTTGTAATCATCAAAATTAAACAAAATAAACATCTGAAATATATGAGTTTGTATGTAATGTATGAATATAATATACAAGTTTCACTTTTTAAATGGAATTACTGAAATCAATCTACTTTTTCATGATATTCTAATTTTATGACCAGCACCTGTATATGTGCCTGCCACTTTTTTAGGGACCCAAAGTAATGGGACAATCTGCTGCTCAGCTGTTCCATGGCCAGGTGTGTGTTATTCTCTCATTATCCCATTTACAAGGAGCAGATAAAAGGTCCAGAGTTCATTTCAAGTCTACTGTTTGCATTTGGAATCTGTTGCTGTCAACTGTCAATATGAGATCTAAAGAGCTGTTGCTATCAGTGAAGCAAGCCATCATTAGGCTGAAAAATCACAACAAACCCATCAGAGAGATAGCTAAAACATTAGGTGTGGCCAAATCAAGTGTTAGGAACAATCTTAAGAAGAAAGAACGCACCGGTGAGCTCAGCAACACCAAAAGACCCGGAAGACCACGGAAAACCACTGTGGTGGATGACCGAAGAATTCTTTCCCTGGTGAAGAAAACACCCTTAACAACAGTTGGCCAGATCAAGAACACTCTCCAGGAGGTAGGTGTATGTGTGTCAAAGTCAACAATCAAGAGAAGACTTCACCAGAGTGAATAAAAAGGGTTTACCACAAGATGTAAACCATTGGTGAGCCTCAAAAACCGGAAGGCCAGATTAAAGTTTGCCAAACAACATCTAAAAAAGCCTTCACAGTTCTGGAACAACATCCTTTGGACGGATGAAACCAAGATCAACTTGTACCAGAGTGATGGAAAGAGAAGAGTGTGGAGAAGGAAAGGAACTGCTCATGATCCAAAGCATACCACCTCATCAGTGAAGCATTGTGGTGTTAGTGTCATGGCGTGGGCATGTATGGCTGCCAATGGAACTGGTTCTCTTGTATTTATTGATGATGTGACTGCTGACAAAAGCAGCAGGATAATTTCTGAAGTGTTTCAGGCAATATTATCCGCTCATATTCAGCCAAATGCTTCAGAACTCATTGGAAGGCGCTCCACAGTGCAGATGGACAATGACCCAAAGCATACTGCGAAAGCAACCAAAGAGTTTTGTAAGGGAAAGAAGTGGAATGTTATGCAATGGCCAAGTCAATCACCTGACCTGAATCCGATTGAGCATGCATTTCACTTGCTGAAGACAAAACTGAAGGGAAAATGCCCCAAGAACAAGCAGGAACTGAAGACCGTTGCAGGAACTGAAGACCGTTGCAGTAGAGGCCTGGACGAGCATCACCAGGGATGAAACCCAGCGTCTGGTGATGTCTATGCCTTTCAGACTACAGGCTGTAATTGACTGCAAAGGATTTGCAACCAAGTATTAAAAAGTGAAAGTTTGATTTATGATTATTAATCTGTCCCAATACTTTTGGTCCCTTAAAAAGTGGCAGGCACATATACACACTGTTGTAATTCCTACACCCTTCATCTGATTTGGATGTAAATACCTTCAAATTAAAGCTGAAAGTCTGCAGATAAAGCACATATTGTTTGTTTCATTTCAAATCCATTGTGGTGGTGTATAGAGCCAAAAAGATTAGAATTGTGTTGATGTCCCAATATTTATGGACCTGACTGTGTATATATATATATATATATATATATATATATAAAATGGGTTTAATGGGAGCTGTAGAATCTCTTATTCCAATTATTTTCCAATTTAAAGTCGTAGGGAAATTAGATTTAAAAGTCAAATCATTCTGGCTTAAACATGTATGTAAATGTTCTCTTTATCAGACCAGATTGTCCCAAAATGTAGAACATTTCTATTTTTAAAACAATCCTGTCTTTAAATCTGTGTTTTTTTCGTTATCTTCTGCAGGCCAGTTAGTTCTACGTCAGCCTGAACACCTAAATTCAGCCAATCATAGATCAACGGTCATCTGTCAATCAAATGTTTTCGGTCATAGCATCTTGATTCATATGTCGCAGCTAATATACGCAACGGTTGAAACCAGAATCCTTTCCTTTCCCATTGAGTTGCGTCCCAGTGTTCACGGGGATGGACGTCTGTGTCTTCAGCAGGCGTAGAGCTAACAGAACTGGCAGCGTTGCGAGGCAAGGGCTCAAACATGTACGGCTGGAAGCCTTCTACACCAAACCAAGCTTCTGCCGCCCTGGCGTCCTCTTCCACAACATCTTCGTCCCCGCTTTCCTCCTCTAAATAAAACATGGATGACGGAGGAGACTCATCCACGACCTCCGACACTAAACTCTCCTCCTCTTGCATGTTTCCGCTGTCCATAGCGTTCCTTGACAGCGTCGTTTCTAAGCCACCAATTTAGTGCTACTTGATCCCAATGGAATGGAAATGCGACGGTTGGAACGGCCGCTTCCCTACGACTTTGAGAAGAACAGTCTGTTCTTGGACGGACTGGGAGCCTTTCACCCACTGACCTCTGCAGACTGGTGCCAATGGCTGGAACCCACAGAGGGTCTTTGGGGGCACTGCCTGAAGATGGCAATGTTTTAACTTTAATGTCAGCTGACCAATAATTGAGGAATGCTTTTTGAAATGAATGACTCCTCCTAATGGTTGGGTTCATGAAGGTCCAGAGCTTTCCTGCAAACAGCAGGTAGCGGCGGTCCTCTGTAGCTTCCAGCTCTGACCTCATGGTGGTCCTGAATGATGGCGCTGGATGAACTGCTGGATCAGAAGACTAAAGTTCTCCTATTACCGGATGAACCGGTTTGGAGATAAGGTCACCAAACATCTCCAAGGAGAAGCCAGGATGAGACGCCTGTCCTCCCTGCCTCCCTCTGACCTGCTGAGAGGGAAAACTATCCTGCTCCATCCAGACCTCCTTAGATTTCTCCTGCATGCTGAGCCATTGTTCAGGTGTAACATGCAGGGCGTGGCCTCAGTACTCGCTGCAGGTCGGCGGCTCTGATTGGCCGCTGCTCTGGTCTCAGACACCTGATAGCGTTGGCTCTCATTCATTCCTATTGTGTCTCTGGAAAGAGTCCTGAAATGAATCTTCCTTGGGGAACATGGAGTTTGGTTCCCCTGGTACCTGCTAAACACCTCCCTGAAGCAGCCAGAGAGCCTGGGCCCCACGCATCACTGTCTCCCTCTGTCTGCAGATGGCGGCGCTGCAGAGTCCATTTTATGGGGACAAGATGAACCTGCTGACGCTGTGTCAAAAGATCGAGCAGTGTGACTACCCTCCTCTCCCGCCTGACCATTACTCCCAGAAGGTAAGCTGCTCTCATCCACGGCCGCCATTTTAGAACAGGAGGTAAAATCACTGGCTGTGAAAATGTAACGCTGAAATAACTATAAGGGTCTGGGTTGTTTATTTCAGTGTTTGGTTTGCCTGAGAATAGACCTTAGCTACATTGAAGACAGGTTTCATTAAAGTCCTTCCTCTCAATGAGAAGCAGTGGAAAATTCAGCTTCATTAAAAGCAGAACTCACAAATACTCAGGGGGGGGGGGTTCTGTCACAGGAAAACAGGCAACATTTGTTACGTTAAGATTATGTTGATTTTTAGCAACAAAGATTTATTAAAAAAATATATATATTGCAATACTACTAATCCAAAGTTTCATTCAATAATAATTCAGTATAAATAAATCAATAACCCAAATTCCATCACAACCAATTTATAAGTAAACTCAAAGTCTCACTTTATATCGCAAAACAAAACAACCCTAATAACTGAAAGTCCAAAAGTGTCTGTTCTTTTTTATATTTTTTTATATAATGTCCACACAGGAGTTCCATATCCCCCGAACTCTAAGCAAAATCCTGGAAGTCCAAAGTCCGATCCAAAACGAAAAACGATTACAAACGATATTACCGTATTTTCACGACCATAAGGTGCACCGTACTAAAAGGCGCAGTCTCAGTTATGTGTCCCTTTTCCAGACATGGGCAATGTGGAGTCAACAAGTCATCTCCATGTCATGTATTTGAAGATTTCCAATCTTCACTGTGAATTAACCTGTGCAGATTGGACTCACCTGGTTAATTGGCTACATGACATGGAGATGACTTGTTGACTCCACATTGCCCATGTCTGCCCATTTCTGTATTTAACACACACATAAGGCGCACCGGACTATAGGGCGCGTTTTTTATATACAGGTACATGTCCTCTACTACCTTTAAATTCCTCTACTGCGTATTTAAAAATAGAGCGGGAGCTAAACTGAGTATGTTTGTGCTTTATTCATGTATTTATTACAAAGTATTAATCAAACCCATCAAAGTCATCATCCTCTGTTTCTGAATTAAACAGCTGCGCTAAATCAGACATGCCAGTTTCCCCTTCTTCGCTGTCAGAGTCACTTTCCGTGCAGCGCGGCTCCTCAGAAATAATGCCGGCTTTTGCGAAAGCTTGTACAACAGAGCCAGCAGACACGTTAGTCCAAGCATCAACAATCCATCCGCTAACGGTGGCGTAACTTGCCCGGCGCTGCCTTCCACTTTTCCTGAAACTGTGGTCTCTGTCTGTCATCCATCGCTCCCACGCCGCTCGCAGCCTTACTTTGAACGGCCGCTTCACACTGATGTCGAGCGGTGGAAGTTCCTTTGTCAGACCCCCCGGGATAACGGCGAGCACAGCGTTCATTTGATTCACCTTTTTTTTCACATCGGCTGTGAGATGGGCACGCAGCGATGGTGATGCGTGGAAAAAACCACCTGGTCTCCTCACATACACCTCCCTCAGCCACGCTTTCATCATCTCCTCATCCATCCAGCCCTTTTCATTTGCGTTAATATCATATGTCATCAGAGCGCTGTGTCTGTCTCGCTGTCAGCTCCCAGATCAGCTTCTCTGATTGGTTGATGCGGCGCGTCCAGCAGCAAAACTTCAATTTTTCCATCTCGAGCAGCAGCAGCGCGTTGGCGGTGCGTCAGATGCTTAAACGCTTCCCGACGCGCTGCGCCTGCTGCTCAAAACGCGCTGCGGGACCTTTTGCTGCGTCTATACGCTCGTCAACCATTGACTTTGCATGTAAACTCGCTGCTTCTGCTGCACCTGCTGGGTCCGGTTCACAGCGAGCACAGCTTAATTTGTTTCCCCATGTTTTTCACATCAGCTGTGAGATGGGCACGCATGGAGTTACATATTAATGGTGATGAGTGGAAAAAAAACACCTGGTCTCCTTACATTCAGCCACTCTTTCATCATCTCCTCAATGAGGTGGTCTCAAAAGTCGCAGTTACAACACACATAGGGCGCACCGCACATTTTGAGGGAAAAAAAGACGTTTAAGTGCGCCTTATAGTCGTGAAAATACGGTAATTTTATGTAGAATGTTTATTGATACAAGTAGGTGAGTAATGACAATGGAAAAGATTTACGCCCCAGAACTCAAAACTGAGTTTTATCCACTATCCCTTTATCTAGAAATTCTGGATGTTTAAATAAATGCATCTATTTGTTAAATGCTGTAGGAAAGTATAGTTATTTATTTAGAAAATATGGGTGTTTTGCTGGTTAATTTTCCTGTTGGAACATTGTAGACTGACCCTGGGGTTCTGGTGCCTGCCCCCCCCTCAGTGTATGTTGGTTATCGCCTGGCCACCCTTATAAACATTTCTGGCTCCGCCTCTGTCACCGGGCGGCGTCCTCTGGGTGCAAACTCCCTTCAGTTTCCTCCATGGCTGATCTGCAGCGCTGGGACAATCTTTGACTGTGTTTTATCTTTCTTCATTATTTTTTGACTTGTTTTTAACAGACATCTAGACAAACGTCAGACCTGTCAGAGCGCGTCTTCCTCACCTGTCAGGCTGCGCGCCGACTGACACGCCCCTTTTTATTAAGAAATTTCTCCTCACCAAAATAACCCAGCATATTAATTCCCATCATCATTTTTAACCAGTGGAGATTCTAAATAATATTACCAATGAACTAACTGTTCTACAGGACAGTTTGTTATCGGCACACTTTAATGTACTTTATACAAAAATAGAAAATAACACAGTGGTTCTGTTACAGCAGGAAATGACAGAATAACACAGCTGCCAGCCATGAATTTGTTTTCCTTTTACTGCCACCTGCTGGACTGGGGGTGTAGTGTAATTTTCTTCCACATACATTATTTTAATGATTTAAAATTTTCACGACCTTTGAAGAAGTGAAAACAGAAATAACCCAAATAACCAGAGATCCTTTTACCTGAGCAGGTTTTTAAAGGAAAAGTCAGCAAGAAATGATAATGGAGCATTATTTACGTTTGCTATGATTTAATGAATTTAGCGTTAATCAGTAAAAAAAGTTAAATATTTTTTCGTGGCAATCATTGAGTCTGGGAGCGGCCATTTTTGCCCAAATATAGTAACCCCTCCCTCCTGCCATCTTCCAGCAGTGACGTCACGGTGCGGTAAGCCTAGCGCCATTCTCCCCGCTTTCCAAGCTAAATCAATGGGAACTACTAGACACATCTGCAATCAACAACAATTATTGAAGATTTCCAGAGGACTTCACCATTGAAATTCACCAGAGCTATAGTGAAACTGACAATGCCCACGTGCATGGCAGCTGGATGCTGGAATACATCGGGTAAAAGTGAAAAAAAGAGTTATTCCACCTTTCTGATTCCTGATCCTCCACGGACGGGTTGGTCGTTGGATCGCCAACTTGAAGAGGGAGGATTTGCCATCGAACTTCTGGCCAGAGAAAAAACCCGTAATATGTAGCCAACATTTGGAAGAAGAATGTTTTCAAGATGACTTGGATAATAGCGCGTTGTGACAAACACCAGATACAGCACTGGGACTTGATCAACAGCCGATACCGCACCGTGACAATGTCACTAACCAGTAGGTGGCAGTAGTGTTCTTTGACAAACATGGATGCCTCCAGTAAAGCACATTCACATGAAAATGACTCTGAATTAAAAACACTGATCATTTATTGAACAGGATGGAATCATTTCACATTCAAAGAACTTTCAGAAGTTTGGATTCTGAATATGAGCGACTTTTCCTTTAAATCCTGAACTTTGTCTCAGTCAAACCTTCGCTGTGCAGTGAGTGTTGGTCTTTATTTTCAGTTGAATAAAAGGTTTAGATCGTTTCCTCAGACAGTTAATCAGGAATTATCCCCTGAAATATCAGCTGAGCTTCAAACTGATCGTTTCTCTGCTCTATTCTGGTCCGAGGCGGTTATACTGGTTTATACTGGTTAACTCGTTAGATAAACCATCTACATACTGGGCTTAGGTTGTCAGACAGAAATGTGTTTCTTTACAATGCATCATTATTAGTGTGAGCACAAGTTACCATGGAAACACGCCAGATTTAGCCTGTGATGCTAATTTTCACCTGTAGTCTGTTAGCTGGTAAATGTAAAAACCAGAAGCAGAAAGATTCTAAAAGCAGCAGCTGGTTTAAAGACGGACATGTTGTGAAAACTCACCTGAGGACGAACATTTGGTCGTCTGGAGGAACCTTTGATTTAGAGAAAGTTAGGAGGAGCAGGAAAAAAATAAACTGCCCTTCCTAGTTGGTGCCTCGTCTAGCGGGGAGCCATTGGGTAGAAAGGGCCCTGCAGGACCCTATTGGGTAGAAACTGCCCCATGGGGCCTCGTTGGGTAGAAAGTGCCTTTTGGACTTTTTTGGGTAGACAGGGTCCTGCGGGCCCCGTCCAGTAGAAAGGGCCCTGTGGGGCCTCGTTGGGTAAAAAGGGCCCTGCGGGGAATCAGCGGTTTGTGATTTCAGAGTCAGAAACATTTCGTTTTCTATTCCTATAGTTTTCTATTAAATGAAAGTTATTATAGATTATATCGGTTCTGTTTCTAAGGTTACTGAGGATAGAAATGGCTGCTGGATCTGAAACCTCAGCTTCTTCTCCTCTCCAGCTGCGTGACCTGGTCAGCATGTGCATCAACCCAGACCCGGTCCAGAGGCCCGACATCGTCTTCATGCTGCAGATGGCCAAGCAGATGCACGCCTGGACGTCCAGCAGCCCCTGAGGGCCCATTGGAGCCGCCTCTGAGGTCTGAGGACGCCGCTGCCTCCGCCGTGCCTTAGCTTCTGTTCCTGAAAGAAAAGACGTTCCTCTGGCTCTGCCAACGCTGATGTCATGGTGGCTGTAGCTGTGAGCTCAGCGGAGCGGAGAACCTGACCTCCATGTGGAGGAAGTCTGGATGAGGAGCCCTGATCCTCCGGTTCTGGTCCAGTAGAGCAGAATCAGGACCGCTCCGACCCAACGGCTGCTTCATCTCCTGTCCAAATAAAGACCTGCCAGCTGAGCTGCACACGGTTGGAGAGATCTGACCTCCCTCCCTCCTTTCCTCCCTCCCTCCTTTCTGGAACCTTCTGATGTTCCTTCTGTCCAGACCTCAGGTGTCCTTCAGTGAACCTCTCCTCCATCATGGACTCGTTTTTCTTATTTTCCAGGTGGATCATCTGGTTCAGGTTTGCAGCAGATCAAATGTTGTTTATCTCTGTTTTCCTTTTCTGTATAAAATAAAGCGACTATAAATCCTCCACCACTGGTTCTCTTCATGCTGCTCTGTAGAAGTGGACTTCTGGGTCTGAGCCATGTTCTATATGAGCTAGATCTATACTCTTGCTGATTGTATAATTATGGTCAGTTTAATTTTTTCCTGATTTATTAAATCAAAAGGTTTATTTTATTAGGAGTAAAGAAAAACAAGCCATCCAAACCAAAACCACCGTGGTTCTGTTTGATAAGATCAGAAGATTTCTGGTTCTTCCACTGATGCTCTGTGTGAAGAACCAGTGGAGCAGAACCTCCAAGACCACCTGAAACCTTAAATGCAGGTCAGGAAGTCAGAACACGTCACCTGGAGAACATTTCCACTAACCTGACTCCGCCAGATGGATTTGCTCCGCATATCCATCTGGAAACCTTCCGTTGAAGTAATTTTGGGAAGGGGCGAAAATACTGGTTAGCTGATTGGCCTATGTTGGTGATAGAAAGGCCAGATAAACCAATCAGATCACGAAGCATATGACGTACTAACAGAGCGACGACGAAGAGGAGCCAATTGATAGATCAAACTCTTGCTGAAACCAGTCGGGAGAAGAGCAAAAACATCTTTTCCTCTGAGAAAAGCCTCCAGAGCAGTGTTTTGCTCTTCTTTCAGTGAAGAAATACTCTGTAATTCCCATAAAACTTGCTCGATAGCCACGCTAACGCTAGTTTCATCGGCTGAAGCCGCCATGTTCTTTAGACTGAACTGTCGCGCTTCTCGTTGCGTCACACCTCAACCCGCCTCAAAGCCAACGCTGATTGGACGTTCGTTTGATGAGGTCCCCCTGCTCAAGCAGAAACATGTTCAGGCCCGCATGAAGCTCGCCATTCACCACCTGGACGACTCCGAAGAGGCCTGGAAGAAGGTGATGTGGTCAGATGAGACCAACATAGAACTTTTTGGTCTCCACTCAACTCGTTGTGTTTGGAGGGCAAAGAACAGCGAGTACAACTCAAAGAACACCATCCCCACCGTCAAGCATGGTGGTGGCAACATCATGCTTTGGGGGTGCTTTTCAGCCAAGGGGGCGGGACGACTCCATGGTATTGAGGGGAGGATGGACGGGGCCATGTATGGTGGAATTCTGGACCAACATCTCCTTCCCTCAGTGAGAGAGCTGAAGATGGGTGGAGGATGGGTGTTTCAGCACCACAGCGACCCTAAGCACATCGCCATGGCAACAAAAGAGTGGCTGAAGAAGAAGCACATCAAGGTTCTGGGGTGGCCTAGCCAGTCTCCACACCTGAATCTAGTTGAAAATCTTTGGAGGGATTCGAGTTGCCAGGCAACAACCTGGGAACCTGAATGATTTGGAGGCTATCTGCAGGGAGGAGTGGGCCAATATTCCTGCTGAAATGTGGAGGCTGTCTGCAGGGAGGAGTGGGCCAATATCCCTGCTGAAATGTGGAGGCTGTCTGCAGGGAGGAGTGGGCCAATATCCCTGCTGAAATGTGGAGGTTGTCTGCAGGGAGGAGTGGGCCAAAATCCCTGCTGAAATGTGGAGGTTGTCTGCAGGGAGGAGTGGGCCAATATCCCTGCTGAAATGTGGAGGCTGTCTGCAGGGAGGAGTGGGCCAAAATCCCTGCTGAAATGTGGAGGCTGTCTGCAGGGAGGAGTGGGCCAAAATCCCTGCTGAAATGTGCACAAACCTTTTCACCAACTATAGAAACCGTTTGACGTCTGTGCTGGCCAATAATAGCTTTTCTACAAAGTATTAACATGCTGTTCGTCCAGGGGGTCAAATACTTGTTTTTCCTCATCAGATGGTTTTAATTTTTATAAATTCATATGATGTTATTTTCTGGAATTTTCTTTGGGATTCCGTCTCACTGTTAGAATGTACACTATATTGCCAAAAGTATTTGCTCACCTGCCTTGACTCACATATGAGCTTAAGTGACATCCCGTTCCTAATCCATAGGGTTCAATATGACGTCGGTCCACCCTTTGCAGCTAGAACAGCTTCAACTCTTCTGGGAAGGCTGTCCACAAGGTTTAGGAGTGTGTTTATGGGAATTTTTGACCATTCTTCCAGAAGCGCATTTGTGAGGTCGCACACTGATGTTGGACGAGAAGGCCTGGCTCTCAGTCTCCGCTCTAATTCATCCCAAAGGTGTTCTATCGGGTTGAGGTCAGGACTCTGTGCAGGCCAGTCAATTTCATCCACACCAGACTCTGTCATCCATGTCTTTATGGACCTTGCTTTGTGCACTGGTGCACAGTCATGTTGGAAGAGGAAGGGGCCAGCTCCAAACTGTTCCCACAAAGTTGGGAGCATGGAATTGTCCAAAATGTCTTGGTATGCTGAAGCATTCAGAGTTCCTTTCACTGGAACTAAGGGGCCAAGCCCAGCTCCTGAAAAACAACCCCACACCATAATCCCCCCTCCACCAAACTTTACACTTGGCACAATGCAGTCAGACAAGTACCGTTCTCCTGGCAACCGCCAAACCCAGACCCGTCCATCAGATTGCCAGATGGAGAAGCGCGATTCGTCACTCCAGAGAACGCGTCTCCACTGCTCTAGAGTCCAGTGGCGGCGTGCTTTACACCACCGCATCCGACGCTTTGCATTGCACTTGGTGATGTATGGCTTGGATGCAGCTGCTCGACCATGGAAACCCATTCCATGAAGCTCTCTGCGCACTGTTCTTGAGCTAATCTGAAGGCCACATGAAGTTTGGAGGTCTGTAGTGATTGACTCTGCAGAAAGTTGGCGACCTCTTCGCACTATGCGCGTCAGCATCCGCTGACCCCGCTCCGTCAGTTTACGTGGCCTACCACTTCGTGGCTGAGTTGCTGTCGTTCCCAAACACTTCCATTTTCTTATAATACAGCTGACAGTTGACTGTGGAATATTTAGGAGCGAGGAAATTTCACGACTGGATTTGTTGCACAGGTGGCATCCTATCACAGTTCCACGCTGGAATTCACTGAGCTCCTGAGAGCGACCCATTCTTTCACAAATGTTTGTAAAAACAGTCTGCATGCCTAGGTGCTTGAATTTATACACCTGTGGCCATGGAAGTGATTGGAACACCTGATTCCAATAATTTGGAAGGGTGAGCAAATACTTTTGGCAATATAGTGTATATATGATTGAAATTATAGATCGTTGCTTTCTTTGTAAGTGGGCAAACCTGCAAAATCAGCAAGGAGTCAAATACTTATTTCCCCCCCACTCAAAGCCACTCAAAGCAGTGCATCCTGGGAAACGGCAGAGGTTCAAACCTCGAGTAAAAAAACCAAAATATAGGACTAATTCTACAGCAGGATATATTAAAATATATCCACGTCTAGTGAAGGTGAACAGTGGCAGATCTAGACCAAATGGACCAGGGGCCCAGCAGGGGGCCAGCGTGTTTTCATGGGGGCCCAGAAAAGCATGAAATAAAAAACAGGGCAAGAGATTCAAATATATTAGAGAGCTGCATGAAGGGAAATTTATTTTCAATAAGGTTCAATAAAAATTCAATTTCTTATAAGGTCAATATACATTTATAATTTAGGAATTTTAGAGATTATTGACTTAATTTAAAACTACTGTTTTCTATAAAATTTTAATTAGAACTAAAAAAACTGTTAAATTCATCTGTAAAAATTAGAGCATTTTTTATTTGTTGTGAAAAAAACCATTTAGTAGATTGAAACTGGGATCCTCTCTCAGTAGCACTGAAGATATCACCTCAATGTTTTTGAATAATTAGTAAATCAGAATTTGTAAAGAATCAGCTGCAGAATGAAATCGATCCGAAGGACCCATCAGTAACCATGTCTGTTCCAGCACAGATCATCATTCAAATTTATTTTAAGTATTGTCTTCAGTACAGGGGCCATAACAGGGGCACTGGCCCCCGTTGGCCCCTGTCTAGAACCGGCCATGGTGAGGAATGATGACATCATGGCGAGGTGCACTGTATGCTGAAGTCCATGAAAAACAGAAAGCACAACCGATGTTCAAGGCTACAAGATTGAAAGTATTGAAAATAAAGAATCTCCCTGAAATGAGTTTTTGGAACTTGGGATATCTGTTAATGTTTGAAAACCAAATTTGTCTTTTGAAAATCCAATACCAAAAACGGCCAGTAGATGGCTATAGTGACTATTTGAACGAAACAAAAATTCCAAAATAAAAAACTTAAGACTAACCCCCAGATTCCACATACAGGTGCTGGTCATAAAATTAGAATATCATGAAAAAGTAGATTGATTTCAGTAATTCCATTTAAAAAGTGAAACTTGTATATTATATTCATACATTACATACAAACTCATATATTTCAGATGTTTATTTTGTTTAATTTTGATGATTACAAATGACAACAAATGAAAATCTCAAATTCATCATATCAGAAAATTAGAATATTGCTGAAGACCAATAAAAACAAAGGATTTATAGAAATGTTGGCCAACTGAAAAGTATGAACATGAAAAGTATGAGCATGTACAGCACTCAGTATTTAGTTGGGCCTCCTTTGGCCTGTATTACTGCAGCAATGCGGCGTGGCATGGAGTCGATCAGTCTGTGGCACTGCTCAGGTGTTATGATAGCCCAGGTTGCTCTAATAGTGGCTTTTAGCTCTTCTGAATTGTTGGGTCTGGTGTATTGCATCTTCTTCTTCACAATACCCCATAGATTTTCTATGGGGTTAAGGTCAGGAGAGTTTGCTGGCCAATTAAGAACAGGGATACCATGGTCCTTCAACCAGGTACTGGTAGCTTTGGCACTGTGTGCAGGTGCCAAGTCCTGTTGGAAAATGAAATCTGCATCTCCAAAAAGTTGGTCAGCTGCAGGAAGCATGAAGGGCTCTAAAACTTCCTGGTATGTGGCTGCGTTGACCCTGGACCTCAGAAAACACAATGGACCAACACCAGCAGATGACATGGCACCCCAAACCATCACTGACTGTGGAAACTTTACACTGGACTTCAAGCAACGTGGATGAAGTGCCTCTCTTCTTTTCCTCCAGACTCTGGGACCTTGATTTC